TGGTATATCATCTATACACTGCTAAACATATGTAATCTGTTAAATAATGCCCCTTATTCCAAAAAGTGATGATACAACATGTTGTTATTGTTCTGTGCCATCGAGTCACTTGTGACTCATAGTGACTTTATGTATAATAGCTCTGAACCCTGCCCTATCTTGAGTCAGTCTCACTGCCTCGGGTAAATCTGCTCCCTTTATCTCAGTTACTGTGTCAATCTATTTCATCTAGGGTCTTCCTCTCCTCTGTTCTCCCTCCATTCTTCCAATCTTGATGTCATTCTCCAACAGCTGGTCCCTCCTGGCCATCTGCCCAAAGTATGTGAGATGGAGCTTCAAAATCCCTGCCCCCAAGGAACAGCCTGATTTCAGGACTACATCATTGCTTCTTAACACTTTGGAGAGGTCTCTGACAGCAGATTTTGCCGATACAGTTCTTTTGATTTCCTAATGCTGGTGCCAAGAATATTGATTGTGGAGCTGAGCAAGCTGAAATTGTTAACAGTCTCAATCTTTTTGCCATCTACCATGGTGCTGTCAATTGTTCCAGTGGTAAGAATCTTTGTCTTCTTGATGTTGAGTTTCGATCCATATTGAAGACTACAGTCCTTGACCTTCTGCAGAAAATGCTTCAGGTCCTCCACAGTTTCAGCAAGCAAGGTTGTGTCATCCACATTACACAGATTGCTGTGAATCTCCAAAACTGATGCCGCATTCCCCCTCGTAAAGTCAAATCTCCCAAATGTTCTGTTCCACATATAGATGAAAAGATGTGGACACAGGTCTCATCCTTGACTTTGAACCATGCAGTGTTTCCTTACTCTGTTCAGATGACTGCTCCAAGTATAAGTTCCACAGGAAGACAATCCAATGTTCTGGGATTCCTGTTCTTCTCAAGATTAGCCACAATTTGTTGTCATCGTTACAGTCAAATGCCTTTGGATAGTCAATGAAACACAGATAGACACTCCTCTGTTACTCTTTCCTGTCAGCCAAGATCCATGTGACATTGCTGATAATGTCTCTAATTGCTATGGCATCTTCTAAACCCAGCTCCTATTTCTGATAGTGCTCTGGTGATGGACTGTTCCAGTCATTTTTGGATAATTTTCAGCAGTATTTTGCTTGGATGTGATATTCGTGATACTCTTCAATAATTTCCACACTCTGTTGGGTCACTGTTATTTGAATTGGGAACAAATAATGGATTTCTTCCAGTCAATTGGCCAAGTAGTTGTCCTCCAGATTTCTTGGCACAACCTGGTGAGCACAACCAGGGCAGCATCTGGACGTTTGTTAACTATGTTAGTTGGTATTCCATCTATTTCCGGGTCTTTGTTTTTTGCCAATTCCTTCAGAACAGCTTGAACTTCTACCTTCATCATCACTGCCTCTTGATCATATGTTGTTTCATAAAATTCTTCGGCCAGCCAATTCTTTTTGGTACAGGGACCCTGTGTACTCCTTCCATCTTCTTTTAATGTTTCCTGCTCATTCAACATTTTGCCCAGGTGATCTTTAAGTATTGCAACTTGAGGCTTGAAGATACAGCATAGTATAGAAAAATGGAGACTTTGGTCCCTGCCAGTTATCTGGTTTTCCTATATTCTGATATTTCTCTCATGAGCCTCCTAGCAGACCAACCCCAGCCTGGTGACCACAGCTCTGGCAACCATCAAAGCCATTGAAGGCTTGATAGGAAGGTTTCTCAGCAGCGAATGTAAGTTAGAAGCCAATATTGGGGAAGACTTTTATAGTCTGAGATACTGATTTAAGCACTGCCGTGTGTGATGGATGGTCTCTCATTTTTGATCTACGAAGCTTATTAGGAGCACAAACATTCGGGAAGTAGAGATGATGAGTCCATCCCAGAATTCCCATTCTGTGTGCAGAAGGAAAAATGCTGGCCGGAGTAGACACGCTTCTTTCCATGCCTCTCTAGACCTTTCATCTCATATTCATAGCAGCTCTTCATTGCTCACACAGATAATTGAATTGTTAACTCGAGCTTTTCTTCACCTCCTTGTTTCAGGGTGTGTATTGTAAATGAACAGCTGCTCATTGCAAAAATGTACTGTGTTAATGCTTTGCTATGATGCAGTCTTACTGTAAAGTTGACTGTTTTGTTAAAGTGGCTACTGGACCATTTTATTGTATCCTGAAGTACTGAAATGAACCAGCTCCTTAACCATTCACAACTCATGGCTCTAAAGAGTAAAACAAGAAGTGCTCAAGAAATTAAAGCGTATCTTTAGCAAATGACTCCTTTGAATTCTGAGGTGTTGTATTTACAATCCTGAGCCAGTCAAGTTACCAGCATGCAGAAGGTCTCCTGTGATGTCAGTCATTCCAGCCAGTGCTTTAGACAATGCACATTCACAGATACCTTCCATTAATGGCCATTAGCTCATTAGTAGGACTTACATCATAGAATTATGAGAGAAGTCCCACTTACCCATAGTAGCTTATGATAGTGTTTGTGCCAACTCTAAGCTAGGTCAATTTTCTATATTAAAAGCTAGCTTACTTGTCCGTCAGCAGGTAAAAGAAAGGGGAAAAATGTGGTGCAGATATATATTACTCAGCCATAAAGAGAATTCAAGTCTTGATGCATGCTGCAACATGGATAAATCTTGAAAACACAGTGCTAATTGAAATGAATTAACAACAAAAAGACAAATATTATATAATCTCACTTATATGAAAATACTCAAGAGCAACAGTGTCTCTGGAGACTAAGGTTCGCCTGATACAGGCCATGGTTTTTGCAATCACTTGTTATGCATCAGAGAGTTGGACAATGACTAGGGAGGATAGAAGGAGAATTGACGCCTTTGAGCTGTGGTGCTGGAGAAGAGTATTGAGGGTACCATGGACTGCCAAGAAAACAAACAGATTCATCGTAGAGAGGATTATACCAGGCTGCTCCTTGGAGGCAAGGATTCTGGGGCTTCATGTGACATACTTTGGACATGTTGTAAGGTGAGACAGGTCTTTGGAGAGGGACATCATGCTGGGCAGAGTGGAGGGACAGCGCAGGAGGGGAAGACCCTCTATGAGGTGGATTGATTCAGTGATTGGGGTAATTGGGATGGGTGTGTCAGAGGCAGTGCGATTGGCACAGGATAGAGCACGGTTTAGGGCTGTTGTACATAGGGTCGCTATGAGTTGCAAACGACTCGACGGCACATAACAACAACAACAACATATGAAATTATCAAATATATAGAAACCAAACTTATTTGTGATTATGAATGGCGGGGAGAAGGTGAGAAGGAAGACACTGAGTTGCTGAGTTGATACTGGTAGAGTAAGTCCAAAAAGGGTAGTGACAGTCAATGAATTGTCCATGTAAAAATTATTGAATTACCAGATATTTTATTGTATATATTTTACCAGATTTGTTGTTTTGTTGTGTACCATTGAGTTGAATTTGACACATAGCAGACCTTCCAGTGGGTTTTCAGAGGCAGTAAATCACACAGGAGGAGATTTCCCACCTTTCTCCCACAGAGCAGCTGGTGGATTTGAACTGTGAACCTTTAGTTTGGCAGTGCAACTCCTTACCACTAAGCCACCAGAGCTCTAGTTCTACCATGATACACCAGAGCTTTTCTACCATGATGTTTTTGCTGTTGTTGTTGTGTACTGTAGAGTCAGAACCAACCCATAGCTAACCCTCCAGTGGGTTTTCCAAGTCTGTTAATTGTACAGGAAGAGATTGCCCATCTTTCTCTGCAGAGCAGCTGGTGGCTTCGAACCACGTGCCGTCAGGATTGCACTACAGCTCCTTGCCACTAGACCACCAGAGCTTCCTCGATGGGGAGTGGGGTGGGGAGATAGTTGGGGAAAGCGGAAGAAGAAGAATGGTGGCTTACTTGTAAAGTCCAAAATAAGAACTGCATGACCCAATCTTTTCTTTGTCAATGAATCCCTATTCTCTCCTATTTATTTCATGATTATTCAGTGTGTCCATGCAGAAATATGTATTGTCATGCAGAAATATGTATTGTTTACCTGTAAGACTCTTGATAAGCACTGTGGTCGGCATGGAGACACAGTCCCTGTAGAAGTAGTTAGATGGGTCCCTTTCAGATTTAAAGCATTAATCATTGGACAGCGCTGCCCTTCCCTGGCGGTGATGATTACTACAGCCCTGTATGTATTAGAATGTAATGTCCTGTTGAAGAAACGCTGCTTCCCAAAATAATTATTGTCTAAGCTACAATACTTTGAAGATGCGGTTTTGAATTTCTTGTTTTATGTCTGAATATGTGTGTCTTAATGCCTTTTTTTTTTTTCCAAAGAAACCAATTATGATTCCTTGGCATTTATTGCAGATGAACAAGAAAGTTCTGGAGCAATTATTTACACCGTGGAGCTTAAGCGCTATGGGGGACCCCTTGGCATCACAATATCGGGCACAGAAGAGCCGTTTGATCCTATAATTATCTCAAGCCTCACCAAAGGGGGATTAGCTGAAAGGTAAAATTTGAAGGAACTGCTACAATTCTTTGTGTTGGAAATGGGAGACCTTCCTCCTAGCCACGTCAAAACACACTCTCCTCACCTGCATAGTTATCTGTTGACTTTTTCAAATCCACACAACAGATTGATTTCAGAGCTTGAGAACTCTCAGGGAGAGCTCTGACTTGGCTTTGAGGAACAGCTTATAGTCCTTGAAAGATGGCATGAGCTTAGCACTGCTGTTATTCTCCAGAAATGTATAAAGTGACCACAGCTGACTGGAGATAGATTTGTATTGTGTCCGTTTTGAGTGGAGAAGAGTAAAGATCAGGGAGGTTAAAAGGCTTGTCCTGTTCAATTCAGCAAGCATTCACTGAGCCTCTTCTACCTGGTTCATGCTGTGCTTAGCTGCTGTGTTTTCAGAAATGAGGATGATACCACCTTTGTCTTCAAAGTTTTCAGGAAACAATGCCTCATGACCTGTCTGGATAATATTTTTAATTGAGTGTGTTCATGTGGGTGTGATGAACTGAAGCCCCCAAAACACACCCCCCCAATTTGCTGAGACATGGTGAGAACCATATTCTAAATTCTGTAACTTAACATGTCCTTCTGTAACCTAGCTCAGGGGTGCACCATGCATCATATATCCCAGCATACAGAGACAAGGGTTTGTAAAATAGAGGCAGAAAATGAGATCATTTGGGAATTAGAAGGTACCATGGAAATCAACTTATTCAACATTGTGAAGCCATGTAAAGAGTTACCTTATTGAATTAATTATCTGCTATTAGAAGAGATAATGCATGATATAGTGTCCTTCAGGGATCTTTTCCTTAATTCTAGTCGTACATATTTCTTTTAGACAATAAGGAAAAGATTAATACTGATCACACTCAACAACCTCCAAGTAAAATGTGCTGTGGTCTACAGCTACAGTTAGTTCTTTCATAAATTGAAAATTCTTTTTGGAACAAGGAAGGGATCCTCTTTCCTTCTCCTTTTATGTTTTTAAATTTTATTCTGATTTATTTACAAAGTTTGAATACTTTCTTTTAATACATAAAAATCCCTGACAGAAGTTTTGAGCTTGTTAAGAAACCTGTCTGGTCTCTGTCGCTTCTGTTGTCCCAGTTGCAGTTGTTCAGTACAGCTGCCCCCATGTCTAAAACAATCCATAGTCAGAGCCCTCAGTCACAAGCAGCAATATAAATTATTATGCTCATTTTGTTAATCTCCCATAAAGGCCAGTTTTAAGACAATTAGGCTAATACACGGGACTCAATCTCTCCGTAGCCCTCATCCAAGTGTAAACAGCTGGCTTTTTGGGGTTTTTTTTTGTTTTGCATCTCTGAGCATGTTTGCAGTGATTCTCCTGCTTCCCCACCTTGTGCCATCTAACAGAGATACATCAGATGAATATCAAAAGGGTAGATTCCAAGCTGCTAGTGCAGGATTGGCATGGGGCAGGGGAAGGAATGGAAAGATAAGAGAATTGGCCAAATGTTTACTAATTTATTTATCAATCCATTAAATTGGTGTGTTTTTTTCCTTTGTTCCAAGCATTGTGCAAGACTTCTTACATATGGTTTTCTATTTAATCCTCATGGATTTCTTTTGAGATTAATAACCCCACTGTCAGAAAGCACACAAAGATCCTAAACAAAGCAGTGCTGAAGGTGTCCGCATCAGGCAGTTGGTGAGTGGTAGATTTGGATTGAGCTGTAATAATACATATTGATTCCTGAATTTTGACTCAGTCAATTCTTGGAATCACCAAAGAGGGTCTAGTGTCTAGTGTGTATCCCCATCTTTCTGAATCTCATTTCTGGTGTCAGCATTCTGATTATGTTATAGAATCTACAGAAAGAAGGAACACTCCATTCTAACTGTCGCTATCAATGGTTCATGTCCTTGAGATTTTTGAGAGGGATTATCAGAAGACTCAACTTCCTTAAAATTTATAAAAGCACAAACATCCATTTTGAAAGCTAATTAAAAGAATTTTTCTGATTGTATTTGGAAAAAAATGAAAAAAAGTAATTCACAACAGATGCGGTTACTGCATTACCCAGAAGAAAGCTAGAAAAAGTGACCTCGGGAGACCCTCGGCAAGTCTTTATGATTGTGAATGTGTCATATGTGTCAGGAAATTTCTCTTTAGTAGCATTCGGGGTTGTTTTTATGTTTCTGTTCTGTTTGCTGTTTCAGAACGGGTGCAATCCATATAGGAGACCGAATCCTCGCCATCAACAGCAGCAGCTTGAAAGGGAAGCCTCTGAGCGAAGCCATCCATTTGTTACAGATGGCCGGAGAGACTGTCACCTTGAAGATTAAGAAGCAGACAGATGGTGAGTGGGTCAAGAACCACACTGAAGAATTTCTGAAAGAATGTGGTAGTATGTACGCTACTGGAAATAGAACCACAGAGTACCTGAGCGTCTTTTCAGTTAGATGAACTCTGGTTCTTAAGTTCCTTTCTTGTCTTTAAAGCCCAGACAGCATCCAGTCCCAAGAAATTCCCCATTCCCAGCCATCTGAGTGATCTGGGGGATGTGGAGGAGGACTCCTCTCCAGCTCAGAAGCCAGGCAAGCTCTCTGACATGTACTCCTCCACTGTGCCCAGTGTGGACAGTGCTGTGGATTCGTGGGATGGCTCTGGAATGGAGGCCAGCTATGGCAGTCAAGGTATGTCCTTGCCCTCAGGTCAAGAAACAGAAGACTTGTCATAGCTGAATCCCATGCTTCTTAGAGATTCACCCTCTGCTCTGGGAGGACATTATATGTTTGACTTGTATCTAGAGCAGTGCGACTATATTGGGCAGACCGATTACTTGTACCCAGCTGGCTTTGCAGTTCCTTCATCGTACTGTAGATAAGCCAGGAGCGTTTGTCAAATGCTAGCAGGCCCTCGGAACATGCCTCCGGAAACTATGAACTTTAATAAATGTCGATAGTACTAGAGGGGCTTCAGGCCTTTTGTTCATAGCGTCGCTATGAGTTGTGCTTGACTCGAAGGCAATCAACAACAACAACAACAGGCCCCCATTGGAGCTACTGATGGCTAAATTTTCAATCCACAGCTTGTCTTTCAACTTTAGATTAATAGGAGGTAAACGGTACATTAAAGTGGTTCACTGAAGTGAGGCCCTATTGTTTTCTTTTTAGCAAGCTTTCAAGGGAGACAGGTTGGGGAGTGCCGAGGGCATGCATGAGAGCTCAACTGATGATTTGAGACCTCACTTATTAATGCCTCCTCCTGACTTTAAATAGAAACCTGTAGGGATTTCCCCAATAATGATCATCAAATAGTTATAATCATACTATAGGGGTACTTAGTCAGTTCTTCACAAACTTCATCTTTTCTAAGCTCAGCCTACATTAAAACATTAACCTCACTCATGGTTAGACTTTGAACTGTAATTAATATCACAGATGTGTAGCATTATACCTATAAAATGTGTTTAAAAGTAAGTATAAACATTATACTTCTTAAAATGGCAAATCTTCTGTTGTGTGTATTGAATACTGTTTGAAGCAGGAGGGTAAGTGTCCACTAGGCACAGAACAAAAGCAAAAAGTTTTCTAAAGAAAAGAAGAAATGTTTCTTTCCCAACAATACATAGATTCAAAAGAGAAGCATGTCGTTAAGATTTTCTCATTATCTTTGTTTACCTCCTCTTCTGAGTCTTATTTCCTCTCTGATGCCTTGTATAAATCTCACCTTCCAAAACCCTTTTCTGCTCTGGCTTTTGCCACTTGAAAAATGAAATACAACATCTAACAGTTTGGAAAGTTTCATTTTAGGTGTGAGAGTTGCTTTGTAAATCATCCGCCTCTACTGTTCATCTGCCTGGACTTTTAGAACAGTTGTGTCCAGTTTGCTTCCTTTCTCATCTTAGTTTTAATCTGTTAGTCTTTTCTTTGTCACTTTCTGTTAAAACTTCTGAGAGGTGAAGAGCAAAAAAGAAAAGCAATGATATTTCAAAGCCATCAAGGTGTTACTTGTTAAATGTGATATTGGAGTTTGGTAGAGAATTTGGAACACCTACACTAAATTGGTGTTTTCAGATATCTGAATAAATGAATTCATCCAGGTTATAATACTTGTGACAAGCTAGCTATGCACCTGAATCGCATAAACTCATTGCCTGGGAGGGGACTGTGGTGGTGTAGTCCATAAGGAGTCATGCTATGAACCCAAAGGCAGCTTGAATCCATCAACTGCTCCCAGGAGGAAGGTGGGCAGACTTCTCCCCTGAAATGTACAGTCTCCAGAAACTACTCGTGGGTCAGCTATAAGTTCGAAACTCATTGCTTCAAAGTTGACAGGCCTCCAGAGGACATTCTGGGTAAAAGATACAGAAGTCAGATCCTATGAGAGTAGATTCTAAGAGCTTATCAGAATTATGTTTACCATGAAGAAGGAAAATCACTAGTATAGCAGAGGTTATTGGGCAGAGTGGGTAGTGAAAGAATGGGAAAGATTAAATGAGAACTTGAAAACATGAGATGATAATTGTTGCTGTTGTTGTTGTTTTGTGCAGTCAAGTTGCTTGCGACTCATAGTGACCTATGTACAACAGCCCTGAAACCTGCTCTGTCCTATGCCAACTTTACTGTCTTTGACACACCTACCTTCATTACCCTAGTCACTGAACCAATCCATCTCATCGATGGTCTTCTTCTCTTTCTCTATCCCTCCATCCTTCCGAGCATGATATCCCTCTCGAAGGACTGGTGCCTCCTTGAAAAATGCCCAGAGTATATCAGACAAAGCTTCAGAATCCATGCCTCCCAATGAGCAGCCTGGTTTCACCCTCTCCAGGATGAACCTGCATGTTCTTCTGGAAATTCATGATTTATTCAGTAATCTCCAGCACCACAGCTCAAAGGCATCAATTCTCTTTCTATCATCCCTAGTCATTGTCCTGCTCTCTGACTCACAGCAAGCAGTTGCAAAGACGATGACCTGAATCAGACACACCTTAGTCTCCAGACTGAAATCATTATTCTCCAATACCTTGCAGAGGTCTCTGACAGCAGACTTTCCCCAATTCAATGTGTCTTTTGATTTCCTGAATGCTGGTACCAAGAGCATTGATTATTGAGCCAAGAAAACTAAAGCTTTAATGATCTCAGTCTCTTCACTATCTATCATAATGCTGCCAATCAGCCCAGTGTTGAGAAACTTTGTTTTCTTAATGTTGAACTTCAATCCATATTGTAAGCTGCAGTCCTTGACCTTCTGCAGCAAGTGCTTCAGGTCCTCCTCAGTTTCAGCAAGCAAGGTTGTGTCATCTGCATGACATAGGTTGTTGATGAGTCTTCCTCCAATCCTGATGCCACATTCTTCCTCATAGAGACCAGCCTCCCAGATAGTATGTTCTGCATATAGATTAAAAAGGTATGGAGGTAGGATACATCCCTTGCATACACCCTTCCTGCTTTTGAGACATGCAATATCTTCTTGCCCTGTTCTGATGACTACCTCCTGGTCCAAGTATATGTTTCACATAAGCATAATCAATTGCTCTGGGATTCCTATTCTTCTCAGTGTCAGCCATAGTTTGTTGTGATCCACACGGTCAAATGCCTTTGCATAGTCAATGAAATGCAGACATTCCTCTGGTATTCTCTGCTTTCAGCCAAAATCCATCTAACATTAGCTATAATGTACCTAGTAGAACCACTGCCTCTTCTAAACCCAGGCAGCACATCTGGCAGTTCTCTGTTGATGTGTTGTTCCAGTCATTTTTTATAATTTTCATCAGAATATTGTTTGCCTATGGTATTAATTATATTATTTGATAATTTCCACACTCTGTCAGGTTGCCTTTCTTTGGAATGGGAACAAATCTAGATCTCTTCCAGTCAGTTGGCCAGATAGCTGTCCTCCAGATTTCTTGGCACAACTTGGTGAGCGCATCTAGGGCAACAGCTGTTTGTTGAAATATGTTAATTGGTATATCGTCAATTCCTGGCACCTTGTTTTTTGCCAGTTCCTTCAGAACACCTTGAACTTCTTTCATTATCACTAGAGGCTCATACATTATTTCACGAAATTCTTCTGTGTCAGCCAATTCCTTTTGGTACAGTGACTCTATATTCCTTCCATCTTCTTTTAATGCTTCCTGGATCATTTAATATTCTGCCCAAAGCATCCTTAAGTATTGCAGCTCAAGGCTTGAGTTTGTTCTTAAGTTCCTTCAGCTTAAGAAATGCTGACTGAGTTCAACCCCTTTGATTGTCTAACTCCATCTCTGCACATTTCATTATAATACTTTACTTTTTCTTCCCAAGCTGCCCTTTGAAATCTGTTCAGTGCCAATGGTTGTTAATTATATACACAGTACAATGCGTATTAATTAATGTATAAAACAATGCATATGAATGATACTATGCAAAACAATAAAAATACTTTCTATAAACTAGTAAAAAATAATTATATTGCTACTCAAAATGTGGGGACTTTTGTTACACAGAATTTCTCATGAGGTACTTGTTTTATTGATCTGTTTGCTTGTTTTGTTTTTGTAACAGATGCTTTTGATTTCAATGTGTTCAGTCCCATTCAGGGATCAGTAAGAACTTTGCTACTCAATTCTTTAATATCATAAGATCAAAGCCACTGTTAATACATTAAATATATTATACATTAGACCTTTCCCTCATTGGTTAAATGAAAAAAGAAGAGCCATTGAGAGTTGGACAATGACTAGGGAGGATAGAAATAAAATTGATGCCTTTGAGCTGTGGTGCTGGAGAAGAGTATTGAGGGTACCATGGGCTGCTAGGAAAACAGACAGATTGATCCTGGAGAGGGTTAAACAGGGTGGCCCCTTGGAGGCAAGGATTCTGAGGCTCCGTCTAACATACTTTGGACATGTTGTGAGGAGAGACCGGTCCTTAGAGAGGGACATCATGCTTGGGAGGGTGGAGGGACAGTGCAGGAGAGGAAGGCCCTCTATGAGATGGATTGATTCAGTGACTGAGGCAATCAGGATGGGTGTGTCAGAGGCAGTGCGATTGGCACAGGACAGAGCAGAGTTTAGGGCTGTTGTACATAGGTCGCTATGAGTTGCAAGTGACTCGATGGCACATAACAACAACAGCAACAGGAAATAGTTGTCATAATAATATTATTCTGTCATTTCTAAGTTAAAAGGTTGTAGAGAGAAAGAGATAAGTAGATATCGTGGCAATTAGGATAAAATGAAAGTTCTTTCTAATTAGTAAAAGAATAGTAATAATACCTTACATTTGTAAAATGATTCAGAATTTCACCAGCACTGTCACTTAAGTAATCTCGAGCCATCTTTATAACACAAGTGGATTTCTGTGAGCCCAAGGGCCAAGGTTAATTACAGAATGTGGGCATTAGATGGCGCTTTAGAAGTCATCTAGTCCAATGTCCAGCGCCCTCCCAGCCTCTCTGCAAGCTATCACACTGTGTGGCCTGGGGGCCTGCGGTGACAAGTTCCCCTCACTGCTGAGGCAGCTCTCCCGTCTCCGTGTAGCTCTGATGGCTCAAAGCTCTCTCTTGTATTGAGCTGGAATCTGTCTGCCTGCAGTTTCTGCCTTAGTCCTAGTTCTTGCCTCAAGGTCACTCAGAGCTAGCCTACTGCCTCTTCCCCTTGACAGGCCTTCAGATACTTGAAGAGGGCTATCAATGTCTTCTTGGAGTC